TGGAACAGCGTCACAGTAGAAACGGACGATCAAAGTCGGACATCATTCAAAGAGTAATTCGTCGCCGACCAAATTGAGATTCGCAAGACGTACAGATCGTCTTCACACTTAATATGCACTAAACAACGCTGAGAAACGCTTCGATACAGATTTGAGTAATGTTCAGTATTGTTTAAATGAGAAAGCAATCTAAAATTAACGACTTTAATCGTCTTTTCACAAATTGTGCTCACTATCTTTTATGTTGAGTGCAAATTTTCTTTTGCTGCGTAATACTTGGATAAGACACTTTTGCTCGAATTATTCTTGTAAATATTTTCCTTACATCCACGCAAATTTTTTTATAGAATTATTCACTTAAATTTCTTAAATTATTCATGCAAGTTTTTGATACAATTGTTCATTTAAATTTCTTAAATTATCTACGCAAATTTTTTGCTAGAATTATTTACGTAAATCTTTTGAATTTCCCGCGTAAAATTTTGCTACAATTATTTCCATAAATTTCTTGAATTACCCACCTAAATTTTTTCCCAGAATTATCCACGTGTACTGTAATTATTCTACATTGCTTTTCTCAGAGAAAGCGAGAGAAATAATTTCTTTAAGAAATAAAGTTTCGTCATACAATTTCTTTCTCTTATCCTAAATTCATCTTCGAGGTATCACATTTGTCTACTATCATGTTTTTTCTCATTTATCATAAACTTCTTCAGCTCCGGCAATTAAAATTTCATATCTCTTCCAGCTTCTTCATATGTTAATAGAACTATCAATGAAAGATATCAAAATGGTTTCACATGTTACAAAATTTTGTTGCCATTTCTCTCGCATCTTGTTAAGATAATACGTACATATAATTGTATACATATGATAGTTGGTATGTGTACATATATGAACAGTATACATACACACACACATACATATCTATAATAAATGTACAATTATTTATCATTAGTATACTTATTTATTTTCTAGCAGTATTAGTGTATCTCTGTATACATTTATTTATTTTTCACTTTAAAAAAAGCGTATTTAACGATCCATACATATATTTATTTTTAATCAACAAATAATTGTATTTAACATTATATATTTATTTATTTTTCCTCAACAAGTAAATACATTTTAAACGCGTCAAGTGTTGCATTTTCTCAGCAAATTCTTCCACCAAAAATCTCTCTAAAACATCACAATAAACTTCTATCGCCACAATCTCTCATAATACAGAAATAAAGAGCTCCTACGATAAAGAGCGTAGTAAAGTGTTTCGATTTGTTAATCATAGCCTGATGCAACGTCGAAGCGAAGTGTGAAACGCTATTTAATCGATGATGCAGAATCCAAAACGGCTTCTAGGAAGCTAACGTTTGTTTTCATACAAAATAACCCATGATAGATCGATGCATCATCTCGAAAGCGATGTTGCACTCGGTTGCGTGGTGGGATACCAAGTAGTCTGGATGTTGGTTCGTTCGACAAAATTCTAAGTCGCCGATATCGTGACTTTACGCTTTTTGCGATAATAAATAGTCCGATTTATCAGTTAGTCACTTACGTACGTCATTATTGGATGATACGAGATGTCGCTTTAAGTGGAGTTATTATTTGTTGTAGTTTATTGGAGTTAAATTAGTGTGTTTTATTGTAGATGATGTAAGATTTCTAGGGAATGTACGGTGGAGGGAGTGTGCGATACAGAGAGACGGAAGGTTTTACGATTTTTTCTTTTAGTAATTTTTAAATAAAATTGTTGAGTATTTTGGTTCTAAATATATGAAGTTCTCAAGTATAAAACTTTTAGAATATAAATTCTGAAATTTCTTAAATCTAAAATTCCCCAAAGACCAAGGTCTCCAAACGCAAAATTCCCCAGATTTCAAATTCCCAAAATTAAAAATTCCTCAATTCCAAAATTCCCTAGATCTCAATTTCCCCAAATTCAAAATTCCCCACATCTCAATTTCCTTAAATTAAAAATTCCTCGGATTCCCCCAAAATTCCTTGGATTTCGAATTCGCAAATTTCAAAATTCCCTAGTACTCAAATTCTCAAAATTCCCCAAATCAAAAATTCCCTAGATCTTAAATTTCTCGAATTGAGAATTTCCTAGATCTCAAATCCAAAATTCCCTAGATCTCAAATTCCCCGAACTGAAAATTCCCTGGATCACAAATTCCCAATTTCAAAATTCCCCAGAACTCAAATTTCCCAAATTCACAATTCACCGAATCCAAAATTCCCTAGATCTTAAATTCCCCAAATAAAAAATTCCCTAGATCTTAAATTCTACAAATAAAAAATTCCCTGGATCTCAAATTCCTGAAATCCAAAATTCCCTAGATCTTAAATTCCTCAAATTCAGAATTCCCTAGATCCCAAATCCAAAATTCCCTAGATCTCAAATTTCCCGAATTGAAAATTCCTTAGATCACAAATTCCACAATTTCAAAATTTCCCAGAACTCAAATTTCCCAAATTCACAATTCCCCGAATCCAAAATTCCCTAGATCTCAAATTCCCCGAATTAAAAATTCCCTGGATCTTAAATTCCTCAAATTCAAAATTCCCTAGGTCTCGAATTCCCCAGTTTCAAAATTCCCCAGAACTCAAATTTCCCAAATTCAAAATTCTCTAGATCTCATATTCCCCAGATTTCAAATTCCCCAAATTTCCAATTCCCCAAATTCTCAATTCCCCTAATTCTCAATATTCCAAGTTCTCAATTCCCCTAATTCTCAATATCCTAAGTTCTCAATACTCCAAATTTTCAATTTCCCAAATTCTTAATTCCCCAAATTCTCAATTCTCCAAATTTCCAATTCTCCAAATTCTCAATTTCCCTAATTCTCAATTCCCCAAATTCTCAATTCCCCTAATTCTCAATATCCCAAATTCTCAAATCCTCAGTCTCATACCTTCAAGTCATCAAACCCTGAATCTCTCAAACTCTCTCCCTCTAAAATTTCCCAATCCCCCATTCCCCCAACTCCCAAACCCTCAAACTCCCAAAATCCCCACTCCCCAAATCCCCAAATCGTCCGTAACCAATCCCCAATTACCAAGCTTCCACATGGTCCCCAAAGTTTTTTGCACCCACAATAGCAGACGCAACAAGTAGCCCTGACAAAAAGCCCGGCCACAGATAGTCACCCGTCCGCAAAGGATACCGCAGATAAAGCGATTATCCTCTTTGAAGCGCGAGCCTCTGATAGCCTCTCGACACTTCGGAAGAGGTGTGTGTCCCCGTCGGCCAATCAACGGTGGCCGTTCGATGAAATCGCGATCGAGCGACCGAACGTCGCTCTCGTCGGAGGTGAATCGACGAGATAAGTCGTCGGCATCGGATAGAAGGTGCGTGCATCGTCGAACGTCGCGCACTGACAACCTGGACAACGTAAACACCGCGATAATTCGTATTTTTATAAGCCACTTATTTTCGGCGATAAGACGGGAGGGTGCAGGGGTCACGGTCTCCGCGCGTCGTGTCGGATTTTTAATTAATTTCAATGACGCTACGGCATTCGATCGACGCCTAATCGTTTCGCTTACGAAACTCGAGCGTCCCCTATCGGCCGCTGCCAGTTACGTTGGAATTTTCGCTTATCGTCAATTATTATCGGCGGATTCGCCGAAACGCGCAATTGATTCAACGTTTTTTACCCTACTACTCTACTACAGGCTCTCCCAGAATCGCCGCGCGTACTTATGTTATTATCAAGTCGGAGAGTTTCTTTGATGTTTTGCATGCACTATTATCGTTCTACGTATGTGGAGAATAAATTTTGGTCAGTTACGTTGATAACTGCACTTTTTACATTGTTTAATTTATGCTTTATTTATTTATAATTGTCATGAACTTATAATAAATTGAGAGAATTAATGGAATATTATTTGCCTTAGATTATTATTATGAATATTTTGTAATGAAGTACTTCTGCATTTTAAATTCAACAGATTAAAAATTCCTAAATATGTACCTATTTCCTAAATAGAAAATTCCCCAGATCGCAAATCCTCCAAATTCCAAATTCCTTAAATCGAAAAATCCCCCAGATCTCAAATTCCCCAAATCTAAAATTCCCCAGATCTCAAATTCTCCTAATCCAAAATTCCCCAGATCTCGAATTTTCCTAATTAAAATTTCCCTAGATCTCGAATTCCCCTATTTCAAAATTCCTTAGACGTCAAATTCCCCATTTCAAAATTCCCTAGATTTCAAATTCCTCCATTTCGATATTCCCTTGACTTCAAAATTCCCTAGATCTCAAATTCCTCATTTCGAAATTCCCTAGATATCGAATTCCCCATTTCCAAATTCCCTAGACCTCGAATTCCCCATTTCAAAATTTCCTAAATCTCAAATTCGCCGATTTCAAAATTTCTTAGATCTCAAATCCCCCAAATTCCCTAGATCACAAATTCCCTAGACCACAAATTCCCCGAATTCAAAATTCCCTAGATCCCAAATTCCCCGAATTCAAAATTCCCTAGATCCCAAATTCCCCGAATTCAAAATTCCCTAGATCTCAAATTCCTCATTTCGAAATTCCCTAGATATCGAATTCCCCATTTCCAAATTCCCTAGACCTCTAATTCCCCATTTCAAAATTCCCTAAATCTCAAATTCGCCGATTTCAAAATTTCTTAGATCTCAAATCCCCCAAATTCCCTAGACCACAAATTCCCCCAATTCAAAATTCCCCAAATCTCCAATTTCAAAATTCCCTAGATCCCAAATTCCCCGAATTCAAAATTCCCTAGATCTCAAATTCCCCTTTTCGAAATTCCGTAGATCTCGAATTCCCCATTTCCAAATTCCCTAGACCTCTAATTCCCCATTTCAAAATTCCCTAAATCTCAAATTCGCCGATTTCAAAATTTCTTAGATCTCAAATCCCCCAAATTCCCTAGACCACAAATTCCCCCAATTCAAAATTCCCCAAATCTCCAATTTCAAAATTCCCTAGATCCCAAATTCCCCGAATTGTAAATTCGCCAAATCTCGCTATATTGCCCCGCTCCCGTTATCCACAATTGGCTGAAGACACCGCCACATTTTCCCTCACGCTGCATTTCCATTGAAGCGACTCCTACCGATTCAAAATCGCCTCCACTGAATATCTCGTTCTCCCTCTGTTTTTTCGCCGTGTGAGATTAACCGGGGACAAACGGGCACGCTTCGCGGTGCCCCGGCAAAAAACCGAGAGATATACACACGGGTGCAACGAACGACTTATCGAGTTACGTAAAATGCGACGAGAATGCACCAATCGCCAAAAGATTTTCGATCCAGCCAAATTTTAACCGAGCTTTGTATCGCGTCTGATTAGACAAATTCAGCGAACGCTAAATTAGACACCCCAGATTTATGGCGTTTTCTTAACGTTTGCCAACGGATCTCGAAATAATTTCGATCGCTATATCGCTCTCGAATATCCTTGCCATCACCGTTTCACTCCTCCGATTTTCTAAATGTTGTATGTTCTATATTTCTTTTATGTGTTCCGTGGTTATTTGTGTTGTACGATTTTCCAGTTCAGTGTTCTGGAATTTGAGAGTTCGTTGCATCTAGGGATTTTGAGAGTCAGTAATTGAGTTTCTGGAGCAGCCATTTTTTAATCTGATTTTTAATCACAGAGTTTTAGATGAAAGAGTTGTTTGTTCAGATACGTGTATAAAATAAAGGGATAAGTTAATTCGGGATTTAGGGATTTCGAGATGCAGGAATTTGCACGTTCGAAAATTCGAGAACCTGAAAAGTTGTGTACGAAACTTACTCGATGAATTATCGAGTTTACTTGTGTTTTATCCAGAAAAAGTGAACAGTGTATTTTATCACCTAACCTAACTAAAGTGTCACCGAAAAAAGTATTGTTAAAGCATTCTCGCGAGTTTGTTAGCAAAGGAACGCTATTCGAAGGGTCGCCGCCAAGGCGAAATCGAACGACGTTCGATAGAATATCCGCGATCAGCGTCCGGTTATCGTGCGCAGTTATCGTTTCGTAACTTTCCACTCTGCGTTGCATTCCGATGCGACGCTTTTCGTCCACATTGTTCCCTTTTTCCTTTGCATTTAAACAACGAGGTATTCCACTTGCATTCCTAAACCATCAGACTGATGTATCTAATCAAGAAAAGGACGATTATTACCCCTTTTGCTTTCACTGAACAGAGGTCAATGCTTGATGCTTTTATTTGCTTGTTGTTACAGGGTCGTTATCAAATTCAATAAAATGACTCTGTCAGTGTAGATAAATACTTTCATATTTGTTTTATGTTGTGCATATTTATTTTATATTTATATCATTATGTAAGAATGCTGTGTATGTGAATATTTATGTATATTTATATCATGTGTATATGCTGTATGTGTATATTTATATGTATGATGTGTGCATGTATGTTATATGTTTGTAAATTTATGTATTTTATCTATCATGTATGAATATTGTATATGTGTGTTTATGTACATTATGCATATTTACAAGTATGATACATGTGTGTATATTTGTAAATATTATGTTCCTATGTTTTGTATGCATTTATAAATATTATGTGCATATGTATTGTGTATATTTGTGAATATTATATGTCTATGTATGTATATTTCTGTATATTGTGTGCACGTGTGCATATGTTATATGTATGATATATTTGTGTATATATGCAAGTTGGATCTGCGTACATTTATTTATTTTATTTGTACATGTATGTATGTCATACGTATATGCATTTATGCATGCTATGTCTGTATGTATGTACGTTACATGTGTGTATATTGATGTATGTTCTACATTCTACGTGTGTAAATCTGCATTATGCATGTCTTCATATTATATGTATACAAACTGTAAGTATATTAATGTGTATTACTGTGTATATATTATAATATATATTATAGTACATTATAATGTATTTTATAATGTATATTATAATGTATTTTATAATGTATATTATAATGTATATTACAATGTATTTTATAATGTATTTTATAATGTATATTATAATGTATTTTATAATGTATATTATAATGTATATTATAATGTATTTTATAATGTATATTATAATGTATATAAATGTATGTATAATGTATATGTATGTATATTTATATTTTTAAACATATGTATGTACACATATGAACCCATTTTCAAAATAAACATCTCCAAACCAACTAACTGAAAATAGTACAAATTAAGAATTAAAGGTGTTGCATAAAATAGATATATGCTACTAAATGTCACAAAAAGAGGAAGGCAAAGCTCTGTAAGTACGTCCGTTCTTTCCGTAAAAGGTGAATGGAAAATACGATTAACTGCATATAAAAGCGACGCGACGCAGTCGATGAACGAGATCGAATAAATTTCAATAAACGCAACAACGCGTCCGCGGAACTACGACGACCTGCTTCGCCGAGGAGATAGATAGATGATCGGTAAAATTGCCGACGACGAATAAACGACGGACTAGTTCGAGGCGTAATCGTTATCGCCCGCTTGACTTGTTGCAATATTTACTTCCGCCGTCCAGTTTATCCAGTGATGGATTAACCAACAAGAAACATAAGCATTACAAAGCTTCTGAGTCTTTTACATTTTTCATTTTTGAATAAACAAAGTCTAGACTTCTCAACTTTTCACAATTTCAACTTTCTGCAATTCTAAATTTCTAAATTATTAAATTTGCATGTTCCCAACTTCCTACATTTGTAAATTAATAAATTATCAACTTCTATATTCTACAATTCCCACATTACTTAATTTCTAAATTATCAAATCTCAGTGCTCCCAACTTCCATTCTTCAATCTCAGTGCTCTCTACATATCACATTTCTAACCTTCAACACTATCAATTCTCCACATTCTCAAATTCTACACATACAAATATTCATACTCCACCATTACATAGTCTTTAACCTATCAACCTTCCAAAACTTCAACTTTCAAGTACAAAAACTTCAAGTATTTCTAATCTCTCAAATTTCCTTTTCCAAATTTCCATCAATTCAAATTACATCTTCTTCTTCTTCTCTTATGACAACAAACTTTCCACTGTACAGGTTATCCTATTTTCAGATGGTTTCAAGAGCGACCGGAAGCTGTGGTGTAGGATGCTGCTCCCAGGCGTCGCAAAGAGGATCTATAACCTTCAAAGCAAGCAGTTGGTGAAACTCTTTGCCCGCCTACTGCTGCAAGATGAAGACGACATGCTGGAACATTTGGAACAGGGAGACATTGCCGAAACGATACGAACGTTCTTCGAGACGAGTGTAGCTGTTAAACCGGCTGAGAAAAGTGTTCTCACCATGCAAGAGGTTAGAGAGAGACATTCGGTGGACAATTTCGAATCGACCCACGCGTAAATTTATCCTGCGACGTTTAAGACGCTTTTAATCCTCCATTAATCGAACAAAGCCACTGGATCATATTGATTAATTCTGGGCTTAAACAGATGTTGCGAGAATTATCTTTACCGCCTCGTAATAATGACGGGACCTTTTATCTCTTAATGTCGAGGGAGTATAATTCTTCGTTCTTGGTGTAAATTGGCTGACAGAATTTATTCACCCTCTGAACGGTTAATTTGCTGTGGCTGGATCGTTACCTGCAATATATAGAAATATGTAATACAGCTAACTATATAGCTAACTATGTATGTACACTGGCTATAACTATGTAGTGTAACTATATAGTAATCATATATAGGGTGTCTCACAATTAGTGTCCCAGAAATGAGGGGTAGGTAATTCTGAATAAGATTTCACATAACAAAAATGGTGTTTGAAGCTTCGTTTTTGAATTATTACGGAGAAACACGGACCAGAGCGCGAGGATGCGCGCGCAGCC